TGTGGGAACCGACGCACCTTAACCTAATCCTAACCAACAACCCCACAGCAATTGTAATTAATTATTTAATAATTTAACAATTTAATTTAAATTATTTTAAAAAAATGAGATGCTTATATATATATATATATATATATAAGTATCAAAGATTATAAATGTCTTGACGATCAATCGGGCCAAAATCAATGGGCGAATCGTCATGACGATAAAAATTATTGCCAGTCAGGCCGATTCATACGTCTTAGTTATTAATTATTTAATTGATTTTTGTAATAGTAAAACAGATATTAGTATAACAGATATTAATCGCAATAAAGCTTATCACATAAAAAAGTGTGCAAGTAAAAACTTGCACATTGTTTCTTCATAGTTTTTAAGTGTACAAGTAGAAACTTGCACATTGCTTCCTCGTAGCTTTTAAGTGTGCAAATTATAAATTTGAACATTACTTCCTCACAATTTCTAAACATTAGGTACTTAATCAACATTTTATTTCGCTCATAAAGCTTTCTTTATGAGGAAGCCAAATTAATAAATATTTATTAATAATTATGCATAAAGAAAACAGGCTTCCTCATAAGAAAAAGCTTTATGAGCAAAATAAAATGTTGATGAAGGGCATATATACTTTTTTCGGACCAAAAAATAACATATTTCACGATTTTTTTCGGCGAAAGTATAAAAGATACGAGGACCGGGTTTTTCGCAAATGAAAGTACATATTTTATAGTGTATTTTCTGATTTTTGTTTTTTATTTGTGATGGAAAGTACTTCCTCTACAGCCCCTCGCCCTAGGCTCTGCATGACCGGCAGAATCTCCGAGCTGGTTTATCTGAAGACAAGAAATCAAAAAAGTTCTTTTTAAATGATATTTTCTAGTCGCTGTCGAATGAGATTTCCGAAATTTTGATTTTTAACAAAATGGCGATCTTCTAAACTTGAAACATCAATTTTTAACAAAAATTTTTATTTTGTTTTTTAAAAAACAAATAGAAATAATTAAACAATTACAAAAAGCATTCGGCAGAGACTAGATAATATCATAAATTTTAAGACCTTTTTTGATTTTTTGTCTTTAGATGAGCCAGCTCGGAGATTCCGCCGATACCGCAAAAACATGCAGGGCCTAGAGTGAGGGGCTGTAGGGGAAGTACTTTGCATCGCAAATAAAAAATAAAAATCAGAAAATGCACTCTAAAATACGTACTTTTATTTGCGAAAAACCCGATCTTCGTATCTTTTATACTTTCGCCGGAAAAAATCATAAAATATGCTATTTTTTTGGGTCCGAGAAAGGTATATGCCCCTTTAAGTAACGTGCAAATTTATAATTTGCATACTTAAAAATTGTGAGAAAGTAGTGTTCAAATTTGCTTACTTAAAAACTACTTCTACTTGCACACTTTTTAAATTCTTTTTTATTAATTTTAAATTAATATTTTTGTAGTTTTATATATTAAAAAAGTTCTTTTTATAACTTTTCAAGTTAAAGAAAATTTTTAATTTTTGTTCCCAGAACGCTCCAAACTTTAACTACAAAAATATAATATACTTATATAAAAATAAACTATCGCTTTGTGCAGAGGTATGTATGATTATTATTTCCGTGTATTGTTTCCTGTTCGTTAAGTTAGTGTTACTGCAATAACAGAGGGTTTTCAATTATTTATAAAAATGCGCAACAAGAAACTGCCGAGTTTGTAAGAGAGAATCTCCGCGAGCGGAACATTATATTATTAAAATACTACATCCAAAATACGACAACAATTTTCTTGTATTCTTTTAATAATATTTATTTTAATAAATTTATATATGTAAATCTTTTGCGTACTATGTGCTAATAAAAATGATTGATTTCTTCTACAGCATAATGTTTTAGTCATTTCGGTCTGTCTACTTATATAGCTTTAGTAACTTCCCGATTATTACCCTATTTATCTGTACAGAGAACGCCACGAAATATTTCACGTATTTTTTCACATTTTCCACATTAAAGATGTTCTGATAAAATCGTATTTAACTATCGTTTTGAACAAATAATAAGAAGCGATTGTGAAGATTACCGCTGATATGAGCAATAACTAGACACTTTCAATTTGTTACGCAACGCACTCGATTTAAGAGGCAACTTTGCTAAGTCGTATGCAGTTTCAAAATAGTCTAAACAATTAAAATTTACTAAAGTTGATCGCTTTACCTCCCATAATCCGTAGAAACATTGAATTGCAGTAACGCCTTGCACTATTACGTCAAACTCGACTGTTTTAATCACTTTCAAAAGATCTCTCGCTGTTTTAATTTTTATCATTGTGTCACATGCGTTAATACCGCACTGATATACAAAATATGCTGTATAAAATACGCTATACTTCTGCCATTCAAGTGGGTCATATTTATTAGATTCATCATAAGTATCCATTAGATCATCGAAAACCTGAAAATAACAAGTACCTTTCGCTATATAAGAGAGGAGATACGAAAATGTGACAAATTAACATTTCCAAAAGCACATTGATCTTTCGAAAAATAGAACAAAACATTTTAAAATAGAAAAGTTATGTTTTTTCTCATTTGTTTTATGATTTGCAAATAATCGATTGATATCTCTCAGAATGTCTTCGAGTCTCCTATAATATCTACTTACGGCGTATGTTAAATTCTGCGCGAGTTTACCCTTGACCTTAATCTCTAATATGCTGACTGCGTGTACATGATGACCTTTGCGAAGTAGTCCTTTAACCAAATGCTCCGTCCAGACGTGGTGGCTAGGCTCTACCACTAAAATCGACAATGGTTTCGACGCTATCACGATATCACCCATTAAAATACAACAAATCAGAAAAATGACGCGACTCAACATTGTTGCGCAAAACTTCTCGCGTGGTCCCTCAATCAGATCTTGAGACCGAATATGTATCTGCATGCCTAGTGTAGCATTCCCTCTCTCTTCATTTCGAGATAATAGCATTATCATAATATTACTTTATGTAACTTTAGACTGATGATTTGAGATTTTCTCAACAACTTAGCTGTATCGTCATAAAAATAAGAAAAGAAAAGATGCATAAATAAGTATATAAATTGTTTTTCAGACATGAGTTTAGATGAAAATAATTGAAAGTTCAACAATTTTTGTTCTCATTATTTCCAATGATTGTTTTACTTAATTCCGAATTTTTGTACTTTTTAAATACACAATAAACAATGTATTTTTAGTTTTAGACAATAAAAAATAAGTTCCAGATCAATTTGCGTTGATCAAGCAAAGTGTCGAGTTTGCCCCGGCATTTTTTAATTTGAAAATTTGTCTTTGCGTCACTTTTCCTTTCCTGGGGGAAAAACTAAGTGACGTACAGCAAAATTTCTTTAAGTAATTTTGTACCTGAAGGAACACTCTTTAAATATGTACCATTAAATTTGCTTGAAAATTTTAATTAATTGTTGAAAATTGCCTTTAAAAAGATCGTGTCGAGTTTGCCCCGGTCTCCCTTATTCGTATGAGTTATTATTTAAGTTAAATTGTTTTAATTGTATTATCTATTAAATATTGATTAATTGTCTTGTCTGTTACAAATATATACTAATTTTTTATATGCATTAAATAAAACAGGTAAGCATTATATTGTGTGGAAATATCGCGGTTAGACATCTCATTTTTAAATAGCCGCCGGTCTTTTAGAAAGTGTTCAGTTATTATTTTTGATACATTGTTATTACGACGTAAAACCGTCACGATTACTTCGCCGAAAAGTTTTGCACATACAATTTACACTCGTAGTTTTCGCATTTCTTACTCATTCTGTATAGTACTTAAAATCGTCGTTGTCGCATGATTTGCAAAACTTACTTTTCAACTGTAGTTCCGTACGGTCCGGAACTCTTGATGCTGGACTGTTTAATGATTACGCCAATCGCGAATGGCTATAGTCGCGCATAAACACATAAGCTACAGATTGCTTAATGTAACTTAATGTAAGTTAAATATATCATTTATCATTGTCAGCTTTATGCTATCTAAATTGATTTTAAAACTCCTCTTTTGCCTTTCACACAGTCACGCCTCATTTGTATTTATAAGTTTTAGCAAGAATAATAGAATATAAAAACAATTTTATGTATTTTAATAATTTATTAATTTAAATCACACTTTGAAGTGAGTAGTATTGAATAAAATTTAGCGATATTTTTACGTGAGATTTTAAATCTTGTAGTATAGGTATACATATATCTATTATTTATTTCATTTTAATCTATAATTTTATCTATAATTTAGAACAAAATTTACATCTTTTTTAAATTAAACCAAAATTAAGTTTTAACAATAAAATGTAATAAAATATTAAGTTAAATTATATTTTATATATATTTGAATATATATTTGAATATAACTAAAATAAAATTTATTTTAAAAGTTAGATCTGTCATCGTCTTAAAATTTAAAATTTTTATTGTATAATAGTAAAAATTTATAAATATCAGTCTTTAAACAATCTCAGTTAGATTCGACAATGAATGATATTTGAAAATAAATAAAAATATAATAATAGAAAATAATAACGGTATAAAAAAATAAGACTGGCGTTAACTAACGTTAATAATATATTGACAGTTGAATATCGGAATGCAGCCGATGTAATATCAAGAGACACGGTAGTGTCTCGCGCCAAGTACACGCGAAGCGAGGTCGCACCGTGACTCTTTTACGTAACGCGTAAAGCGATAAGCGATTATGATAAACGCCATTATCTTAAAATGAGCAGAGGAGGAATGCTACACTAGGCATATAAATTATTTAGTCTTAGGATGTGATTGAAAGACCACGCGAAATATTTTATATAACAATGTTAAGGCTCCTGGGTACTCGTCGCGGCCATGTTGGAATGTGACGTCAGAAGCGATATTGCTTTGAAAAATAATTGTTGTGCAATTAATTTGAAAAAATAAAACCCAAGTGGTGCATATCTTTAAAGATATGACTTAAAGACAATTGTGTTTTCATTCAAGGGTCTTCCTATTCCAACTTAAGTAATAATATCTTCTTAATTCTCCTTAACAAAATTATAATATTACAAATAATCATTTTAATAACAAAGAATTAAAGACAGTACAAAATAAAAATATTTAATTGAAATAAAATAAATAAATTTTTTTTGTAAAAAAAACTTGGCGCTGCTTTTTTTACTCCCGTCGGATTCTTCTCTAAATTATGTTTATTGTTTTTTTATTCAATCAAAAATTTTAGTAATGTTTAAATTTTAATGTGTAAATTTCAAAGTCTAGCAGGTTAGGCTGGATTTTTGGATTTATATATCACTTAAATTGAACTAGGTAACGTAATTTTGTGATATAAAATATACATAATAATACATAATACACCGTAACCGCGCGTGTGTATTTGACTAACAAATAGGTACTCGTGAAAATGTGAAATAAGGTGCTCGTGTCGGTACTAGTGGCAGATCGAGTGCATGTTTACCGACGGTGTTAGTAGATCTGTCGTTCGTCAGTTTTGTTATATACGTCATCGACATATAGTATGGTCAGTATATGGACTGCGCTCAGCTCAGGTATAGAAAAATATGACCGGTGACTCACACCGATTGAAGAAAAGAGGTACGTAGCGACTGATAGAGGAATTTGGAAGGTATAGTTGGAAGTTTTATTTGAGTGTACTATTCTGTCTAATGGAAAATTTTTACTTAATAATTTTATTTGATTTTAATAGTCTCATCGGACACCCTGTACATGCAGAATAACTAGAAGAATTATACCTAGATAAAAGAAATCATACAATTCTATTTTAAGAAAACGACGACCTTCTTCTTGGAAAGATCTAATTTAATTGACTTTCGCATCTTTTCCACATCTCCACCTACAAAAAAACTATTGACATCAGAAAACAAAAAAATAACTTATAATAGAATTTTATTTTAGAGTGGAATTTCTTGAGTTTTTATAACTATTGTTAATCACTTATTTGTTATTAATTTAATATTTTAAACACAAATTGAAAAAGTATAAGAAACACTTTTTATTACCATTATAATTATTGTAATAAATATTCTAATAATTATACAAATCAAAAGACAAAAAACAATTTCAGTATGTACAGACTTATAATTACTCTCTTGTGCTAACATTTACTGCTAAGCATTACATAATGACAATCGTGTTTAACTAAATTTGTCAAAATATTATAAAATGAGAAAACAAAATTAGAAAACTTAAATGGTCTGTTTTTATAATCATGTTCTATATTTTCTTATTCAATCTATAACAGTTTTTCACACTGGTGCATGCAATTAGCGCTTCCTTTAATTAAAAAAAAATGTTTAAATAATACATTTTACAAGAATATAAGCTAGTAACTGTACATAGAAGTGGAAGACTATTGTAAAGATCCACGAACATAATGGTGTTGAAACAAGAATATTATAGTAACAAAGTATTCAGTGATATTTGCAGCAACTTTAATAAGGATCTTTAATAAATATATTCTATAATTCTAATACGAGTACGTACGTGAAAAAATATAAAGTTGCTTTAATAAAACGTTGACGTCACAGGCTGCCACAAGCATAAATAGTTAATTTAATTGGATATTATTAAACCAAATGTTTAAATTATTAAAACAATTATCTGATGTTTTTTATTCATTAGTATAATTGATGTTAATTTTATCTCAACTTACACTGATGCTATTGATACAACATCTTTTTTTCTGTGTATGTATATACTTGTTCCAACATTAATATGTTTCCATAAATTATCTGAAACGTTATAAGATATATGTATAAATGAATTGATATACTGCTATAAATAAAAATCATATAACTAGCTATACTATTGCTTCTTCATAGTAAATAGTAAAAATTAATGAACCAATTATAAAATTGCATCCATAAGATGATTAATGTTTGAATCATAAAATCGTTTTACGT